CAGCTCCACCAGGCCCCACAGCATATCAGTTTCATCCCCCCCAGTAGCCTCAGCATTGCATCCTGCCTCCTCTCATCACGCTGCTGCCACCTTTCCTCTTGCTCCTGCAACCTCTCATCTTTCCTGTCCTCACGTTCATTTTCTGTTTTCCTGGACTCTGCCATTGTTTGCCTCCACGCATTCTGCTGAGTTCTTTCAGTGTGGGAGGACTGCAGGAGCTCAGAGAACATTTCATTGCGAGTGCGTTTTTTTTTTTCACCTTATCTGCGCTAGCCTCTGGGACGGAGATAATAGGGGAAGCATTGAAACATTTGCAGCTGCGGGAGGAAAAAAGGGAGAGTAATATTTAAAAAGACACATTTTAGAAAACAATGGATAGACTCTTTCATGGTGAACCAAGCTGTTAACATTACATAGCACATGTGCTTTTGGTACAAGGTCCATTTTGCCTCTTATATTGATGGCCTGCCGGTTTGATGTGAGAGATCAAACGCAGGGCCAGGCAACAGAAATCGGCTTGCAGGCAGCCATGGTAAGCCGCAGTCTTTTGGCTTCTTCAGCCTTCATAACACGTGGGAATGGTTTCAAACAGCAGCACCCTCCTTTCCCATACCAAGCACCCGTTGGGTTGGCATTTAAAAGGAGGGGCTGCTGTTTTTGGGTTAATGTGCAGCACAGACCCCACTAAACCCTGCCCCCACCCCCAATCCAAGTCTCTGGGATGATCGCTTCACCCCTCCTCCCACCGCATGACTAGTATCAGGGATGATCCCTGCCAGCCAAATGCGAACAGCTCAGCATGAACGTGCCCTCCTCTCCCCCCACCACATGGCTAAAAGTGGGGATGATTTCTTTTCAGCCACAGGCAAACAGCCCAGCAGGAATGGCCACCCTTAATAATGTCCCTGGAGGATTTCTGCTCCATCCCCAGACACATTAACAGACTTTTCATAGAATTATAGAATATCAGGGTTGGAAGGGACCTCAGGAGGTCATCCAGTCCAACCCCCTGCTCAAAGCAGGACCAATCCCCAACTAAATCATCCCAGCCAGGGCTTTGTCAAGCCTGACCTTAAAAATATCTAAGGAAGGAGATTCCACCACTTCCCTAGGTAACGCATTCCAGTGTTTCACCACCCTCCTAGTGAAAAAGTTTTTCCTAATATCCAACCTAAACCTCCCCCACTGCAACTTGAGACCATTACTCCTTGTTCTGTCATCAGCTACCACTGAGAACAGTCTAGATCTATCCTCGTTGGATCCCTTTCCAACTACCCTTTTGGGTAGTTGAAAGCAGCTATCAAATCCCCCCCTCATTCCGCAGACTAAACAATCCCAGTTCCCTCAGCCTCTCCTCATAAGTCATGTGTTCCAGTCCCCTAATCATTTTTGTTGCCCTCCACTGGACTCTTTCCAATTTTTTCACATCCTTCTTGTAGTGTGGAATCCAAAACTGGACACAGTACTCCAGATGAGGGCTCACCAATGTCGAATAGAGGGGAACGATCACATCCCTCGGTCTGCTGGCAGTGCCCCTACATATACATCCCAAAATGCCATTGGCCTTCTTTTCCAGTGGCTGTACTGGCCGTGAATGCAGCCCAAGTCTTCAGGGCAAATTACTCATTAAACACACTTGCTTTTAAACCATGTATTATATTTACAGAGGTACACTCACCAGAGGTGCCTTCTCTGGCTTCATGGTCCGGGAGCCAGCCTTGGGAGGGTATTGGCTCCAGTGTGATGAACAGTTCCTGGCTGTCGGGAGAACAGTTTCTCTGCTTGCCTGTTGTGTCATCATCTTCCTCGTCCCCAAAATCCTCATCCCTGTTGCGTGAAACTTCCCCCCCTTGCAGGTGTCCATGGACAGGTGGTGGGGTAGTGGTAGGGGCACCCCCTAGAATCGCATGCAGCTCATCATAGAACCGGCATGTCTGGGGCTCTGACCCGGAGCGGCCGTTTGTCTCTCTTTGGTTTTTGGTAGGCTTGCCTGAGCTCCTTAATTTTCACGCGGCACTGCTGCGGGTCCCTGTTATAGCCTCTGTCCATCATGCCCTTGGAGATTTTTTGTTTTTCTTCAAATATATTGGCATTTTGTCTTTTGGAACGGAGTTCTGATAGCACAGATTCATCTCCCCATACAGTGATCAGATCCAGTACCTTCCATTCGGTCCATGCTGGAGCTCTTTTGCGATTCTGGGACTGCATGGTCACCTCTACTGATGAGCTCGCCAAACTGGCCAAACAGGAAATTAAATTTCAAAATTCCCAGTGCTTTTCCTGTGTACCTGGCTAGTGCATCTGAGTTGAGAGCGCTGTCCAGAGCTGTCATAATGGAGCACTCTGGGGTAGCTCCCGGAGGCCAATACCGTCAAACTGCGTCCACACTACCCCAAATTCGACCCAGCAATGTTGTTGATTGCAGGGCTAATCCCTTCAGGGAGGAGTACAGAAATCGATTTTAAGAGCCTTTTAAGTCAACAAAAATGGCTTCGTTGTGTGGATAGGTGCAGGGTTAAATCGATCTAACGTGGCTAAATTTGACCTAAACTTGTAGTGTAGACCAGGGCTAAGTGGGCCTTGGTCTATATCAAGACTTGTTACAATCTGGATATGGAAGATCCCTCTAGACTTATTAGGGCTCAAATGGCCTTGGTGGCCTGCTTAGTTCACTTCCCAGTATCAGCGATAGGTAGAACAGCAACATGGAGCTTGAGCCACACATTTATCATTCGCTATTCCTTGATACAAGCTTCCAGGTCAGATACTAGTTTGGGTAGGGCTATCTGACAATCATAGTTCACTTCTAAAAAAAAACTAGGCAATTAGTAGTCATCCAGAGTGGAATCTGTGTGGAGAATCAGTTGGAGTAAGACCGGATACGTAACACATAATGGGTCTTTGCAATGTGTTGTCCACATAAACTTCTTGGTCAGATTTTTTCTAAACTACTTCTGGCAACTCAAAAGTCATAATCCTTTCCCTGAAACCTTGCTATGAAATGTGTAAAATTCCTCTTAGAGCTAAGTGGACTATTCTTAACAAATAATGGACTCAAACAAAGTAAGTCCTATTATCTGCTTCCTAATTATTCATTAGCAAATTTTGATTTTTATGACGTTGCTGGATAGTCCAAACTGACTGCAGGCTTGTCTGCTCAGTGGGGTAATGCATACTATGGGACTGTGATCTAAAGCACACTAACATGTTGCATATTAATTGCTCTGTTTAGACCACGGGTGGGCAAACTTTTTGGCCCAAGGGCCACATCTGGGTGGGGAAATTGTATGCAGGGCCATGAATGTAGGGCTGGTGCAGGAGGGAGTGCAGTGTGCAGGAGGGGGCTCAGGGCAAGGGGTTGGGATACAGGAGGGGGCTCAGGACAGGAGGGCGAGGTGTGGCAGGGGGCTTGGGACAGAGGGTTGGGGTACTGGAGTGGGTGCGGAGTGTGGCAGGAGGCTCAAGGCAGGGGGTTAGGCGGCTCAGGGCAGAGGGGTGGGGTGCAGGAAGGGTTTGGGGTGCAGGCTCCGGTCCCGTGCCACTTACCTTGAGCAGCTCCAGGGTGGCAGCAGCACGTAGCAGGGCTAAGGCAGGCTCCCTGCCTGCCCTGGGCCCATCACTCCTGGAAGTGGCCAGCATGTCCGGAAGTGGCTCCTGGGGGTGGGGTGGGGCGGGGCAGGGCAGGCAGCTCCACCGCACACTGCCCTCACCTGTGGGTACCATCCCCATAGCTCCCTTTGGCCGTGGTTCCCAGTTCCCAGCCAGTGGGAGCTGCAGGGGATGGTGCCTGCAGGCGAGGGCAGTGTACAAAGCCCTCTGCCTCTCACCCCTAGGAGCCATAGGGACGTGGTGCCGGCCGCTTCCGGGAGCAGCACCAGGGCAGGTAGGGAGCCTGCCTTAGCCCCGCTGAGCCACAAGGCTGACAATCCTGCGGGCTGACCTGAAAGCCCTCACGGGCCGGATCTGGCCTGCGGGCCGTAGTTTGCCCTCCCTTGGTTTAGACCCTGCTGCTATGCACTGAAGGTTTGCTCACATGCCAGTTCAGGTGTGTGGCCTGAGATACGAGAAGGCTGCGACTTTCTATGAAACTTTATAGTGACAGTGGGTTAGATGTGATTTAAATCCAGGTTCTTACTGTTTTAGTGTCCATTCGTGCCACTACATTATTTTTAAATTACATTTAGTCTTTTTGACCTATGCTTCTGTCATAAATATAAAGGGAAGGGAAAATCCCTCCTGGCCAGAGGAAAAATCCTCTCACCTGTAAAGGGTTAAGAAGCTAGGATAACCTCACTGGCACCTGACCAAAATGACCAATAAGGAGACAAGATACTTTCAAAAGCTGGGAGAAGGGAGAAAAACAAAGGGTCTGTGTCTGTCTGTGTGATGCTTTTGCCGGGGACAGAACAGGAATGGAGTCTTAAAATTGAGTGAGTAATCTAGCTAGATATGCGTTAGATTATGATTTCTTTAAATGGCTGAGAAACTAAGCTGTGCTGAATAGAATGGATATTCCTGTCTGTATCTCTAAGGTTTTGCCTAGAGGGATTCTCTGTTTTGAATCTAATTACCCTGTAAGGTATTTACCATCCTGATTTTACAGAGGTGATTCTTTTTTACTTTTTACTTCTATTAAAATCTTTCTATTAAAATAGTTTGCACCTTGGGGAAGTTTTAACCTAAGCTGGTAAAAGTAAGCTTAGGAGGTTTTCATGCAGGTCCCCACATCTGTACCCTAGAGTTCAGAGGTGGGGAAGGAACCTTGACCGCTTCATTTGCTCATCTTGAGTCATTTTTCATTTAATATGTCTCTTGGCTGTTAGTTAGACGGTATGACATTCAATCTTTATAATGGACTCTGTAGGTTCGACTTCTATAAAAAGTAAAATGAATATAGTGTGCTCACATGAGACTGTATTCAGATGTGATCAACTGCTCATTAACTGTACAAACAGAATTCTATGACCTTAAGATAAAAATCTAATGCATTTTTCTTAAAGGTATGCAGCCCCTCATGTATTCTGTTCAGGAGGCGTTAAATTCCAGGCCATGGTGGACTCGTGTTGGGACAGATATTTGTTACTACAAGTAAGTATGCCAACAAAAAATGGAGGTAAGCAAATCTGTTTTACGTTGAAGATTAGAACAAAATCTAATTTACATGAATAGAACAAGCACATCCATGAAATTGTGGTAATTTACTTGTAATATTTCTATCGCAAAGCAGTTGTGTGGTGGTGGGTTTGTTTGGTTTTTTTTTTTTATTTTTATTTTTTATATTTTTTATTTTATATTTAGTTTTAGATGTTGACAAATGAATTTAGAAAATAAATTAAGTATTTTGTTAATGCTATGTTGATAAAATTTTCTGGGAACATTGTATGAATTCAATAACTTGTGTATATAAATATTTAAGCATATTTTTATTAAGAATTTAACCTTAATACCTTTAATACTTTGAATGTGGTATTGTTGACTTTCTCTTTGGGATCCTGTGATGGAACCTCTTTCTAGGTATCACTCCTTTTTTTTTTTTATTGGCGAGATCTTTAGAATGTAAAACAGGAAAACTGCATATTTTCACAAATGGCCCTGTCGTGGGAGGAGCTGTAGGGTCCCCACTTGTCATCCATTCTGTTCAATGGCTGTCTGTTTTGGTTCCCCCTTCTACCCCCACCCCATTAAAATTTCCCACCATTTCTACTCCAGTGTGCTACTACCAGTAGTAGCAGCAGTGTACACAACAGCATACAAGTGTAACCATCATGTGATCTCTCACTTCTCAGAGCCAGAGGGTTTTTGTTATATGTTCAGAAATGATAACATCTGATGTAGCAAAAATATCTACAAATCTCTAACACTTTTTTTTTTATGATGGTTTCACTTCACTTTTAGGAATCACTTTGCTAGAAGTTCAATTGCTGCTGGTGGTCAGAAAGGAAAATCCTATTACACAATTACATTCACCGTGAACTTCCCACACAAGGATGATGTCTGCTACTTTGCTTACCACTATCCATACACGTATTCAACTTTAAGGGTGAGCGAATCCTTGAACTGGATTACTTGGATGTCCATTTATATTACTGTATCTCTTTCCATGAGAAAACACTGCTTGCTTCTAAATATTAGTTCATAGATATGAAAAGGGTACATAAATGAAAGCATGTATGTTGAAAAGTAATAAAACACTCTCCTCAAAAGTTCAAATAAGAAAGGAATCCGTATGTTACAATATATATAATTGGTTTGCTTGTTCTTTAGAACAAAAACTTCGAGAAATTTGACATGATCTTCATTTTCCCTATACAGTATATCCGATGATTATAGGAATTACAGCTATATCAGTAATTGACTTAGATGTTCCCTTCTCTCCCCTTCCTTCCCCCAAAAGGCATTGAAAACACTGACAGCAGGAGAGTATGGATAAAAGTTGACAGCTGGATATAACTCCTGTAAAGTTGCCTAGAATGACATTGTTTACCATGATGTAGATCTCCTGTTGAAGTCTATTGGGAGTTTTTTCATGGACTTCAGGGGGAGTTTGATGAGGCATACATGGCTAAGATGATAGAACTAGACTAATTTGACACTGTCTCTCATATCTTATCTGTCTACTTACACCTTGCTCATTATTGATGTATCTGAACTACTAAGGTTAAGATTATGAAGTATTAAAAAGGAGACTTTTCAGGATAATGAACTGAGTGAAACTGGGGTGTTGTGAGGCTTTGTTAATGTTTGTAAAGCAAAGTGAGATGCTTAACTAGAATTTGCAGCATTGGTTATATTAACAAAAGCAGATCTGGGACTCAACATATAGAATAGATCAATATTGAATGAGGCTGATCATTTGGGCCCATTCACAAACCAAGTGGCTGCTCCTTGAGGGAGTATCATCTGGTAGAAAACAGAATAAATGGGTGGCGCAAAGAAGCAGAAAGTGCTCCAAAAAACGTTTAAGAAAGACTCAGAACACTCCATACAAAAGAAAACATTATTCAGGTGTAGATGTACTGGAAACCTAAAAGGTATTTCATGGCCAAAGTAGTGATGGGAGAATTATCTTCTATACCTGGAACAATAAAAATAAAATACTTAAATAAATCTTTATTTGTCATATACAAAATTGCAAAGGACTTAAGTACCTTTTCATCATTTTGGGGATGAAGATGCATCTTCAGAAATTGGAATCCATGCACAACCCTCAGCAGATCTATTTTCGACAAGATATGCTGTGTGAGACCCTGTCTGGGAACAGCTGCCCTTTAGTCACTATCACAGCCATGCCAGAGTCGAATTACTATGAACATATCTGTCAGTTCAGTAAGTATAAATTCTCTCTGATCCACTCTGATCCACTTAAAATTATGTAATATTAGCTCCTTCTAAAAATGTTGATGCTTCATTTGTCTGGAATTCTGTAAAAATAGCAAAACTCAGTTATATTCATGAAATTGCCAGGGGTTGGTCTTTGGTCTGCTCACATTTAAAACAAACAAAACAACTCCACCTGATTCTTGAGTAGTTAAAGATAAATTTTGGACCTGCATGTTTTCTAAACACGATTTTTCTTTCCAAAAAAAAAAAAGTACTGTTTACTGTCAAACAAGATTTATTCTTACGCTAAACTTTTTAAAATGTTATTTCAATACAGTCCCTAATTCCTCATTCTTTAGCGTTCTTCATGATCTCATAGCAATTCTTTTTAGTGCAAAAAATGTATTTTCCATGGAGCCCATTTCATAAATATCACATAAGGACGCGTGACGGTACCACCATGTGGCCTCCAAAACACCCCATTTTTTTCTGAATTTCTCCTAATCTTATGAAGAGAGGAATTTAAATTAGATCACGTAAGTTACCAATCATCAATTCTTTTAACAGATGGTGTTTATGTAGTTGTTTTTTCATGTTGCATTAAACTTAAAATCCATTGAGGCACTTGTGTAACAATCAATATTTATGCTAAAATCCTGTCATACTTCATCCCAAATTGATGCAAATACATTTTGAAAAACACTGTACATCACCATCCACCACCTCGAGCTAATTATTATTTTCAAACTGTTATTTTAATTTACTTGTATTACATCTTGCAATTTTTGTGAATGCTTCTTTTAGGGAATCGTCCTTACATTTTCTTATCTGCTCGTGTACATCCTGGAGAGACTAATGCAAGCTGGGTTATGAAGGGAACATTGGAATATCTTATGAGTAACAACCCCACTGCCCAGAGTTTACGAGAATCCTATATTTTTAAAATTGTCCCTATGCTCAACCCAGATGGTGTCATCAATGGAAAGTAAGTTAAACTGTGCTCACTGAAGTACAATTAATAAAAGATCTTTCTATATCTTGTAATAAAAACGTCTAAGTCTTGAAAATAAAAATGCAGTAGTTTTCCAGAATTAACATACAATCAGTATTCATACTTAATTTTTCATATTTGGATTTTTAGTCCTTTTTTGAGTGGTTTGCTAGTTAACAAAACTACTATATACAAATCTTACTGACAAAATATTTTCCTGATTTTCTTCAGTCAAACAATGGGTAGCAGGGTTAAAACAAATAAAAGGAAGTTCTTCACTCCGTGCACAGTCAAACTGTGGAACTCCTTGCCTGAGGAGGTTGTGAAGGCTAGTACTATAACAGGGTTTAAAAGAGAACTGGATAAATTCATGGAGGTTAAGTCCATTAATGGCTATTAGCCAGGATGGGTAAGGAATGGTGTCCCTAGCCTCTGTTTGTCTGTTTGGCAATGGATGGCAGGAGAGAGATCACTAGATCATTACCTGTTAGGTTCACTCCCTCTGGGGCATCTGTTGGTAGACAGGATACTGGGCTGGATGGACCTTTGGTCTGACCCAGTATGGCCATTCTTAGGTTCTTAACATATGTACTAGTAATTTTAAGAGCCTGCATGATCCAGACTGTGAAGAACTTACTTTTAAATGTAGAGTCTTTCTATATGCTGTCTGTGACTATGATTTGAGATGGCACTTTTGTCTAAGAATTAACTGTGGCTTTAAGTCACAGCCCTGGGTACAAGTAGTAACATGGAATTTAATAGGGAGGCTTATGCCAGTGAGAGTGGAAAAGGAAGCGCAGCGTACATAGTGATGGGGCCATAGCCTCATCCATCAAGGTCATGTGTACCAGGTATGCCACAAATTCATTGGAATGTTAGAACACTACTGCAGCACAGATGTCGGAATGGAGGGCTAGCAGTGAAGTAATTCAACTATGACCAAAATATGTAGCCTAGGTTAAGGTTTATATACTGTAATGAATCCAGATTTCTCACAAAGCTGTCTCCTAGTTTTTTTTTTTTTTGTTGGTGAAGAATCAGTAGTGCAAATGTATTCCTATACAAGAACGTAATGCTATCTCTGTGTTGATTTCTCTGAATTTTACTATTAAAATATTGTGTTTTTGTTTTTGTAAATTGCATTTATAAAAATAGGTTTCAGAGTAGCAGCTGTGTTTAGTCTGTATCAGCAAAAAGAACAGGAGTACTTGTGGCACCTTATAAAAATAAGTACCTTCCATAGAACTTGCTTTTGCAATATGGTTTTTCAGAACATATTTTATCATAGTTTTTACATATGCACATATACACCTCACAAATATCTCTTGGTAGAACAGTAGATAGGATGTGCTGTTTATCTGCACTAAATTCTCAATTTCTTAAAGTCCCCAGATTTCTGGCTTAAAGAACACCAAATTGACACAATTTTATATATTGTTATTAACTAAGCCTACTAACTAAAATATGTTATACAAAGATATTACAAATTAAAAATAAAAAGGTCAAAATCCAACACATTTTACACATTCTCATTGAAAAATTAATAATCCTTACATCTAATGCAAGAAAAGGTGATGATTTATAATCTGTCTCAGCTAGAAGGGAGTTATGGAAGTCAATTCATATTCAAACACCTTGTCAAAAAAAAGAACTAAAGCAGGGGAAAAACAGTTCCCAATTTAATTCACTAAGGCTTAACCACAAGGTTCCACACTGTCATTCTTTTAATATTAGTATTGCCACCCAATTCCCAAAAGGATGGTCACAGATGTTTCAATATCATTTTATTAAGGAATTCTAGGAGAAGGTCAACTTACTACATTCGGCTACTAAGAATTTAGGTGGAAATAGTTTTCTGAGGTTAAATCTATAATTACTCTTTAGTTAGTAAACATGACAGCAGGTGTGACTACTTGCTCAGAAAGTTTCTTAAAGGTGCTGACATGTGGAACATAAATAGCCCCTGTGGGCTTCACAGCTGCTCGGTTGTCCCTTCGGCCATACCTACTCACAGACACTCCAGCAATCACTCACTGGTTAAAAACTCTTGCTAATGCATGAATGCCAAGGATGTCTCTCTGTAGATTGAAAACCAAAAATCTAAAATAAAACACTTAAAATGGCTGTATGAACTTGTTAAACTTACAATACTACTTAAGTCTTTCTGAAACATTGCTTGCTGTAGACACTGATCTTCCTGGTTTCTGCTAGTCTTCTACTAGCTAGTTGGTCTCCTGAATGCTACCAGGCTTGCCTGTGACGGGCCTTGTATGTTGGCTGATGGGTTCCATATCCCTGTCAATTGTCAGTCAAAGCAGGGGTGGAGACAAAAGCCTTGTTTTAAGTCCTGTGGATTCTGGAGTTGTGATGGTGTATACAGGGTACATGAGTTATCTTTTAAGCTACTATTTTAAAGGTTCACAGTCATGCTTTCTTCTTGTTGAGCTGAATACGATTCCATTGAAGTTACCAGTCTTCCCATCCAGTTAGGTTTGATTTGATCATCTTCATGGTTATCGGGATCTTTCCACAAATTAGCAAATAGTATGAAGAATTCTAGAAAAATTCAACAGACTCAACAAATCTATCACTGAACGTTGCTGACAGTTGACTGTCTATTTAGCAGTTCCAAAATATTAAATTGAGTAGACAGATTATAGTCACAAGATCATGAACTAGGCAAAAAGGTTGAACAATAAAATCATTGACCATCTTACAAAAATTTAAATTTAAAAGGCTATTATTTTTTTTTAAAATTAGAATTTATAAATTTGGAACTGAATCTGTTAGCTTATCACACACATTGAAGCATCCAGTTTTCACAACAGATAAATTTACTTCCTCTAATCTCAGAGCAAGTAAGTAGGCAAATATCTTTAAATAAAAATTTACTTCCCTTTAATTTTAGCTGATCCAAGTAAAATATATTTGTAACCATTAAATTAACTCTTCTGCAAGAATAAAAAATGTTCTTAATACAAACTTGAATTTAAATCTCACTTGACCACACAAATTGAGTAGTTGTGACACAGGCAAAACTTAAATTAGTGAGGGTAACTTTTAAAATAAAAGTAAGGTTATATTGTGAGACATACATTTCTTTATAAATTTGTCTTTCATAGCCATCGCTGTTCTTTAAGTGGGGAGGATTTGAACAGACAGTGGCAAAACCCAAACCCAGACCTTCATCCCACAATTTACCATGCCAAGGGCTTACTACAATATTTGGCTGCTATAAAACATTTGCCTCTGGTGAGTATGTGTGTTTGCCCAAAATAGGCATTTCAGAATCATTTTAGCTTTTTGTATAGATACTGTCTCGCTCTCTCTAAGAGAAAATACATGTATAGGCCCTTGCAACTGCTTCACATGTTTACAAATGAGACTTGGAGGGTTCATCAGAAATTTCTGGAACTATTTCCAGTTGTATTAAACAAGAGCAATGACTGTGGTTAATGCTACAAAAATATTTAATTATAACTCCCCAGTTTTGATTAATTCTTGAGCCTTTCAATACTGTGTATCTAGCATTTGTTTCCAGGCGTTGTTGAGTTAGAGGGTAGAAAAAAGCCTCATGTTCTGAACATCAGAGAGTGGGGTGGGTTTGTTTTGTTTTTAAGGCAGCTGTAGTAACGAAAACAGTTGAATTCACAAAGTTTTACGTGTGCTGCATTGCTAGGTTTGAAATTTTCTTTGGAAATGGTTTAGTTGGAGTTTATAAAACAGCAATTTGGAACATATGCAATATGCCTAAACTTCACATTGGTACTTATATTGTACAGTATATGTGCATAACTACATAAGTTCCCAATCCTGCCGAAATGTGTGCATATACATAATATTGTACTGGTGAGTCATCACTTTGAAACCAATGAGATGTCATTGCAGAATCAGGACCCAAGGGTCAAATCATGGTGTCCCTATAGGGTTTAATGTGGAAGGGAGAGACTGGATTCTCCCAGCCATTTTCGGTCTTCCTCTTTCCACTCTTCCCCTTAGGTTTCAGAGCAGCAGTCGTGTTAGTCTGTATCCGCAAAAAGAAAAGGAGTACTTGTGGCACCTTGGAAACTAACAAATTTATTTGAGCATAAGCTTTCGTGAGCTACAGCTCACTTCATCTTCTCCTTAGGAAGTTCAGAAGAGAGGAGCTCTAATCCTTATAGGAGGCACATGAGTGTAGAGCTCTTCCCTCACTCCATGCACATTTTCAATTTACTTTTCAGTATGCAGTTAAATTAGCTATGCATATATGTGTAACAAAATCTTCCTTAGTTGTGTGGTTTGAGTTCAGGAAAAATGTTCAGTCCATCAAAAATCTAGTGTGCATGCAGGTTTGAAAGGCTCATAACTCCATTTAACCATCTTATTTTTAATAGAACACTCAAAGGTACTTCAATAGCAGGATTCTTTTTATGCCAATTTTTTTAACCCCAGCCATTACAGCTGTAGATAAAGTTTAAAAAATGTTAAATAGGGTTGAAGAGTAGTTTCTTTCGCTCTCCTCCTAGTAAAAAATGACTGCACAGATTGAGTAAAATATTAAAAAATAAGAAAAGCTTTGGCAAAGACAAGTTTCTGTCTGACAGATGAGTTTTTCAGGAAATTATGAGCAAATGAGAACAGGAGTTTGAACAACTTAACTCTAGTGGTTGCTGCTATTGCTTCTGCTGTGATAAAAATGTTAAGTCATGCACTCTGAATTTGCTGGAAAAAAACCCTATGCTTTCTTAATAAACAGGTTGATTGTATAATGTGCCTTTCATTTGCTAATGCTGTTTTTTTAGTATATGTAAACGAATACAATTAGGATGAGAAGTGAGGGAAATATATGATGCTGAGACCTGTTTTAAAACATTGCTTTAATTTCTCCAATTTTTGTAGGTTTACTGTGATTATCATGGTCATTCTCGTAAAAAGAATGTATTCATGTATGGCTGCAGCATCAAAGAGACAGTGTGGCACACTAATGTTAGCGCTGCCTCTTGTGACCTGATTGAGGACCTTGGTTATAGGGTGAGTAAAAGTTAAACCTTCAAGTAAGTTGTGAAAGTATAATTATATCTTGATTTCCTCATGTTACTTTCCACCCCCCCAATAAGAACAATGTTAATCTGGTCTAAAATGGAAAAGGTGTTTATGTACTTATGCTTTGTCAGAGTATTCATCCACAATAATAGGTGGCATTTGCTTGTCCCTAGGCTATGCCATTCTCTAGGTACAGGAGATGGTGTGGGGCATCTGCAACATACAACAATTTATGCTTTGGGATTCGTGCAGTAAGACACATGCAGGCGCACAGATAGGTGTTCCTGATGAATATAATTTTTGGATCTAAACTGGAAAGTAAAGTTTTTGATTGCTTTTACTTTTCTCTCTCTGGAAAGCGGCATGGGCAACTTTGTTTCCTTGTTTATGCTGTTCTCAAGTCTGAGCGACCGTGTCATTGTATAGAGTTTGATTACAGTCTCCCTGTACAATTTGCATGCACAGTACAAAAACAATTCCCTGACTTCCATAATATGTAGCAGATTATTTTTTCAGACATTTTTTCAAATAACTTCCACAACCTTGTATACGCAGCATGCTGCTTTACAACACTCCATGCCCACTTAAAACTATCACTATTTTTATGTTCATGAATGTTCTCGAATATTTTATAGAATAATAGTATTCAACTATAAAAGAACAGGTATCACATTTGTTGAGCTTTTAAAAAAGTCAGTTTTATTATAGGTATAATTACCTCCGTATTTGTAGCATTCCATATGCTTCCCTACTTTCTCATCCACAGAATACCTCAGAAATACTATACATACTAAGAGACATTGTTTAATTGGTTTCATCATCTAAGACAATTCGGAAGTGTAAGGGGGACTGCTGTCATGGGGGAAGAAAAAAACCAAGTAAACTTCTGAAAACAGAAAAGTATTCTGGAATCTAGGGAGGTATTTGGACAAAGTAATCAGTTATGTTGTGATACTTAACCTGTGCTAGTCAGAGGAATACTCTTTATATGTCAGGGAGTGCCAGACAGTTGGATTAGATTACTGTCATGTAGCCAGGAAGGGGAAACAAAGAAAAACACACTCTGAGAAGGAGGGATGTAGACAAGAGAGTCAACTGTCACAAAATAACAATTAAATAATCCTTCATTTGACATAGCTGAGTGTTTTATCTTTATTCTTCTAATTAAACAAGACAAAAAAATTGTCTATTTCATTAAACAAAAGTGAAAGGTAGAAGTAATTCAGCTTTTCAAAACATTATTAACTGAACTAACAAACTAAGCAATACTTTTGTAGATTTTTTTGAAAAATGTTAAATTATGAACAGAATTATGAACGCTTCAATATCACTTTCATATAGCAAACACTTTTGTCATACTCTTTATTATTCACTTAATTGATGGATTTAGATCAATTATTACAGGCAAGGCTAGTAGCATTGCCTATTATTAAGGCTGCCAAACACTTCCCATTGTTAGATCCTGTTTTCACTTGCTTACAAAACTTTGCCCATTCGATCTGAAATTTTCCATGAGGATCTCTGCCTCGGTCTTAATTATTTTGGAAAATTTCAGACTAAAGAGTTGAGCCATTTTTGATAATGAAGCTAGGGAAAATATATTCTGCTCATACTAAATTTGCTAGCCGCCCTCCCCCTCCCCCCCCCTTTTTTTTTTTAAAGAAACTCCTAAACAGGAGTGGAGTCTTGAAATTAGTCGGGAGAAGCCCTTTGTGTCAAGGATGTGACTTTGCTGATCCCCCTGAAAATCTGCCCAAGTTATAAATCTCTGAAAGAGTGCAATTTGCACATGCTTAACAAAGACTTGCTAGAGGTTCACAGCTAAATTCCCAGAAGATTCCATGAGCACTGAGCCTGCTCCAGGCTGGGGCTGTGAGGAGATTAGCAGAACTGTCTCTGTAATTGCGACTCTCGGTTGCTGCAGCCTGTGCCAGGTCCAGACCCTGGAACAGAGAGCTGGGAAACTCTCTGGCTCTGTGCCCCTCCTGCTGACACCTAGGCAGTGTGGAAGAGGCACCTGATCTGAATGCAGAGGGAGCAAGAGCGAAACCTGGTGGGAGATTGCGGGGGAAGGGGAGGACATAGATTGGAATAAGGAGTCTGGGGAGGGGTGGGGGTTGGGACTGGAGACTGTCAGGGTTAGGATATGAGGGGAAAACTAGGAGTTGGGGTGGAGGGAGTCTACAGTTGGCTGGGTAATGAGAATCTGACTGGGAGCTGGGTGAGAGGAGACTGGGACTAGGACCCAGTGGATTGGAGGAGACTGAGACCCAACTAGGAGCCAAGTGGAATACTGGCACTGTCTGGGCAAGGAGACTGGGAACACTGAATAGTTGCTCATTACATGAGCACCATTCATCTTGTGCACTGAAAGAGGCAGAGGTCCTGTGGAAAGTCGTTTATGATCATGTAATTAGACTGTTTCATACTGCATGCACGCAAGGGGGCTGTATTACGTTTGCATGGGTAGCCTTAATTCTGGCATTTCCTAATTTTTGAGTGCTTGAATTTGCAACCATAATGTTTTAACGTAATTTTTGCAGTGTAATATTTTTCCAGTGCATTATTACTGCATAAATCCATTTGATAAGGATTTTTAAATTAGGAGTTCAAAATAACTTTTTTTTGCATAGTCACAGTGACTGTAAAACAATCTTTCCTACAAAATAAGTGTCTTATTGTGTAGTTTCACTGCCACCTTGTGGCAATCACAAATATATACAGTTTTTTTCTTTTTACTTTGAGGATGACTTTTTTTTAAGGAGGCCCAATATCTGCACCTGTTTGCATACCTACTTTTTTCTTTACAGTTGTGCTCACTGATCAGGTGACTGTACATGCAAATAGCTAGTTATGAATCTAACAAGTGCAAACAGTTATGCATGCTTTTTGTTGCTCAGACATAAAAAGACCCCCAAACGCTACTGGATTGTTTCCCTTACAATTTCTTAAGTGTCTCTGATTATTTACAATTTCATTATCCACTTCAATCACTTAAATCTTGTCTGCACTATGAAATTTCAGATATTTGCACCAGTTTTAGTAACAATGTAAGTATTATAGACCAGCCTTTTGAGTTTTTTGACGAGGGCTGAAATGTCTGCCCTGAGTCTATATCAGCACTTGAACCATTTGCTAATTAAAACGGGTACAGAATTTTTATAGAAGTGCAGTGTGTCCATATTGCTAGAAATGGAGAGAGTAGTCCTATCATATGGCCAAACAAATTAAAATAAGTTGAAAACGTATAACTTTTTTGCATCTGTCACATGTAGCAACATATTTTTGACTGAAGTGAAATCATTTCTATGAACTTTCCAAGAGTGAAGGATCAGGGTCAAAGAGAGAGAGACCTGCAAGTGAACAGCTGAAATAAGTGTAATATTTTCCAGCTACTGAAGAATTGAAGATACCAAATGCTGTTTAGCACTTATATGTACACCAAAACCTCATATTTTAAATTTAACAGTTGAGGTTTGTGGGGTGAGTGGTTATCTCTGGCATAATTTAATACAGCTGCTCCCAGTTTTCTTATTTTTATGAACAGATGCCTTAGGAGATCACCTGATATTTGAAAAGCTATTCTACTATTAGGTACGATTTTCAAATCATGTATGAGAATCACTCTCCAGTATTCTTGTTTAAATAAATTCTACACCAATATTATTTCCCAAGTGGTATAATCCCAAGGCAGTTTGTTTATATAATGTACTCAGTGCTTCAGTGTGCTGGGCTGAAATGTTGCTGAATAGTCTCTTCATAATAGAGCCTTTGTACATATAACTTTTTACTCTGGCAATTTTGACTATTGCTTGTAGTTTATTTGGTTAGAACATTACAAATGATATCATCTGAATAGGTCACCAAGTCCATATCAAATTGATGTGCTGTACACGTGAAAAATAGAGGAATTAATTTAAAGGCACATTTTTCAAATAAAGCCCCAGTTCAACATAAGCCTGATCCAGAGCTTATTGAAGTCTATGGAAAGACTCCCATTGACTTCGGTGGTGCTTTGGATCAAGCCCAAATACTTACACATATGGCTAACTTTCAGCCTATCCCTGTTCGGCAAAGCACTAATGGTAAACTTGCACTGACTTTAAAGATTAAAATTAAACGCACATAGTTAAGTGTGTTGGGCCTCAATCTAGCAAACAATTGAAACATATACATATACACTGAAGCCTGTGAATAGTTCTATTGAATTTGAATGTATTCACATGCTTAAAGTTAAGTGCTTTTGCTGAATCAATGTCAGAAATACTATATAGTATTTTAAAATCTAGAACTTCCTATACATTGAAACTGAATATTAATCTAAATTACATTTCCCTTTTGCACTTGGCTCAGCTTCAACAATAAAACCAAATTAGTCATGCATAGAGTCAAATCTTTTCTACTAGGCACTTCACTTTCTATTTTTTATGCACTTGACTCTCACACTATTTTAATAATAGGGTTGCAAATGCTACCGGGGAATTTTTAAAGGTGGGGGAAGAATGAATCAGTTGGGGTTCTTGGCTCTTTTTAAATAATGAAAACATTACTTTGGATGGATTTTGCAAAATCTTCCTATTTTTTTTTTAAACTGGAATTTGAGATCTGAACTGTCTGATTAATATACTGTGGTTTCACATTTTCATAAAAACAAATTGAGTCTTTTTCAAATTACTATCCTATAGACTCTTCCTAAGATTCTCAGTCAGATTGCCCCAACATTCAGCATGAGCAGCTGCAGCTTTGTAGTGGAAAAGTCCAAGGAATCAACAGCACGTGTAGTTGTCTGGAGAGAGATAGGAGTACAAAGGAGCTACACAATGGAGAGCACGTTATGTGGCTGCGATCAGGGCAAATATAAGGTAAAGAAACTAGATGAAGTGAAACCCTATGTGTGGATTGAGTTTACCATTTCCACTGATATCACTTTCTAAAACCCAGCTTGTCTGTTTTTTTAAAAAAAGGTGCATGAACATCCTGCTATAGGGCTTTTTACATTATATTGAAATAGACTGTTTTGCACAATATAATGTAGATTCCTTCATTATTCTTTTGGATCTGTCATTCTAAAAATGTAATGTGTATGTTCTGTTGATTGTCCATATTAACAAGACTATAATAATCAAGTAAATAAAAATATTTATGGTTGAAATTTTAAACCTACAAATGAAGAAATTCATGGTTCTTACTGTAATTTGGAAACTATTATTTTATCAGTTACCAGTACATTCAAGTATTTTAAAACAGACTTCTTGGATACATGACCATTAGCAAGCTTTTGCGATGTGAGGAGCTCTCCTCTTGGTACAGTCTAGAGTGATACACCAGATATTGGGTAATGTCGCCTCCAGAATTCTCTTCCATGGCAGCAGGAGGAGGCAGATAAAGCCAAATATGTTCATGCTACTTTAGCAGTTCGCTGTTCAGCAGTGAATAAAAGTAGTTAAATTTTGCTGCTTTCCTGCCTCCCTCCCACAACTTGGGAACTTGTCTTTTAAAATTTTATTTTCTTCAAAAGTGTCCCAGCAGTGCTGGATGAGAAAATCAGGGCCAGCCTGTGTTTCCAGTGCAGTACAAGCCTGTTGCCTTATGCCTTTTTTTGTGTTACCCAACAACCAACAGTTGAATATTGCTAAAAAGTACAACCAGTCGAAAATAGTGGATGACTTGAAGCCTCCTCCATCTTCTTTCCCTTCCCACAGTGCCTCAAACATTGCTGCAGGCTGAAGCAGAGAGGCAAGCTGAAGCAGGCTTAGAAAGTAAATAACCCCTGAATGCCAAAACATCCCACACAGTAGCTTCTCCTGTTTGCAAGCAGACCTCAGCCATGTTGAACAGGCGGACCAGAAGGCTGCAAACCAGGTAGAGAGTGAGGTATCATTATCCTATTCCAGCACGCCAAACCAGGCTCTCTTCGCCTACTGACAAAGCACACACCTCAGCAGGTTTCTCAGTAGGCCCATATAGAGTACATTAATTCCTATTTTGTACTAGGTACACAAGTATCCCTGTGATGGATTAGTTCCGAAATATTCCCTGACCACCTTCTGTGGTCCTGAAATGGGGATGCTTTTAGGGTTCCTGTTGATAATAATGCATCCAGGAGTCCCACTGACCAAAAATCTTCAGAATACTTTTTAGATACATAAGGTAAAGTATGGGATGCCAAACTGAAATTTAGGAAAATTAACTTCCAAAGGCCTCAATCAGTCCTCAGGTAAAAAAAGAGTAGAAATCAAATGGAAAATCTATACAGTTGAGTCAGACTGAGAAATCCGTTATCCAGAAAGGAAAACCCCTTCATGCTTATTACAAACCAACCAAAAAGATCAAATCCCTGCACAATAATCTTTTCTTTGGAGTCAGTGCAATGAGAGAGATTTCCATCTTCCTATGAAGGCAAAGAGGACATCTGGGATGCCTGGCCTCTAGAAATGCCCACACTCTCGTTATGAGAAGGAAATAATGAGATTCATCTGGCAGATTAAGATCAATTGATGAACAAGAAAGAGGCAAAAGTCTTCCAAGAAAAAGTACAGAGGAAGTATGTTCCTCATCTAACTTGTGTTCTACTGAGAAATGGCACCCAAGTTAAGCTCTTGAAGATGCTCATATCTTACATCAGCCTATTCTGACTAAAGTCTGAGAACAGTGGGGGTGGGAGGGAGAGCACATGACCTAGATATACTACTTCAATAGGCTAGGAGACCTTTGTTTTCTAGTATTTGACATGGCAATGGAACCCCTGGTGAACATGCCATTATAGGAAGATTCTTCTCTGCCAAAGACGACAAACTTCCTGGCCTCTGGTATCTTGAAACCAGCTGCCTGAAATCTGAGTGCCAACAACGAAGTAAAAAGGGTTATTCACCCAAAGCAGTCTCCACCTTAGTTATAGCAAAGAAAAATCCATCCAGCACATTAAATGCTACGTCTAAAAGAAAAAATAATATACATTTGTAAAGAACGGAATATAGTATAAGACTTCATCTAGCCCAAATTCTACTCATCCAAAATTACCTCCAGACAGCTGAGCCTGGGTTTGAAAAGAAACTTGATAATGATTATTATAAGAATTATATGTAATAGCAATTGCAAAACTTCAAAAGATCAGATTGCAGAATAGACATTTATTTTTCCGGCATCCTCAACGAAACTGTAGCTCGCTCCAACATCCATGTGAAACAATCTTTGGCTGAAGCAGACTTTTGAGTCCATCACTTCCTAGAAATCAAGAGGGTATCCACTGTGGCAATAACTTTGAACTGAAAAATTTTAGAGTTTGGCAACTGTGCAATACTGCTCTATGAAAGAGTTAGGTATGATAGTTTCTATTCATTCTTATTCATGAATTATTAAGAATGAATTATTTATTCCTTCATTCTTGGTAAGAAATTTTGTAAATTAGTTTTTAAACAAATTGGTGTATTTTACTGAATTTTATACACCCGGAATATACTAATTTCTTTTCATTCTGACAGAACTTCCTGAAGAAAATTATTTTAGATTAAAAATTAAATACTGTAAATTCAGTTTCTGTGAAAAATGACTTAATATTCAACTGTTCTTATAAACTGTGATTTAAGAATCTGATTTCTCTTCAGTGCTCCAAGTGTAATCCACATTTGCATTGATGGGAATTAAGCTCCAGCACAGAGGGCAGAATATACCTCTGAGATCCTGAAGTCTTCTAGAAATGGCTGTTCTATCCAAGATTAAAATTAACCTTTTAATTTTTTAAATTCCTTCTTTGTAAGCATTTATGTATAAATTCTTGTCTGCATTTCACAGCTAATTTGGAGCAAAATAAAGTAAAATGTAACAAAATACTGGAATGTGGTTATAAGCTAATAGAGTGTATCTATATTTTATTTCATGCATAGGGGTTGCAGATAGGGACACGAGAACTGGAAGAGATGGGAGCCAAATTCTGTGTTGGCTTACTGCGTTTGAAAAGACTGACCTCTCCACTGGAATTCAGTCTGCCTTCTAGCCTCCTTGACATTGAAAATGAGTTGATTGAATCAAGCTGTAAAGTAACAAGGTAAAACAAATGAATTGCATTTGACTTTCCAAAGAAATAAATTTCCATAGTGTCTAAAACATTAAAAAATCAGGCAAAAGCTTACACAAATGAAGGTTTTTAAAAATGTTTAGAATGTGTCCTACTGTCACAAGTGTCATGTACGTTATTAAATGTTGAAAGGTTTTTATTATTTCACATTGTAAAAAAAAAAAAAAAAGGTTTAACTGATGACTACATTTGAAGCAAACTGGAATATCAGATAGCTTGAGAGAACAAAAATACAAATTGGTAATTATCAACCAGATTTGTTGGTGTAAACTTGTCTGGCTCCATTGACTTCTGTGGCAGGTTACCCCAGTGGAGGGTTTGGTTCCGTAATGCTAATTCACTTTGGGAGTATATGCTTCAATCATTGTTTACTCTCGGTAAGAGATCTGTGTGGAAGTGTTAATGGATAAAACCCATGGATGTTTCTACAGTTCAGTGGAGGTGCTATAATTGATATTTTATTGAAGTGAATTAGTATGGGGGAAGTCAACTTCACAATTCTGCTGTTTTGCGTTTTGACACTAGACAATTCCGTCTAAGGTTGGGCTGCCAGAATGGTATTACAATGGCTTACAATGAGCTGGTTTCTCTTTGCAAGAGAAAAAGACACACACTTGCTTTCCGTTTTAAACAAAAATACTGCAGAGTACAGCAAAAATGTGGCAATAACATATAGAAACTTGATCTGCACCTCCCCCTCCCCAATGATTTTTTTCCCCCTATACCTGGTATTGGGACAGTCACTTGAAGAATCTTGTTGGATGTATTTCAATAAAAGGCTTTCAGTTTTCTGTAAACAAACTATCATAGTAACAGCTTCTGTGCCTGACCATCTCTGTAGCGGGAAGGTGCAGTTCTTCTATCCCTTAATGAGGGCACACAGGGTGAGATGCTATTCTGACTTTGCTAATGGTCTTAGCAAATGCCTATTGAGTATGCTCATTATAAATAAAGGCTAGCTTTTAAATTCTTCGCCACCCCCCCTCCCAGTTGTAGCATGGATTACTAGTCACAAACTAGTTTTGGAGGTTGTGTAATGAATTTAAGAAAAGTCTGGAATTTATCGATTAGTTTCATTTCTTTTTATTTGAAAATGTCTTTCTTCCCTCCCCTCATCTTCCCATAACTCAGAAACCTCTAAATGGAGTTTCCTCAAACTTTCCATTTTGAGCTTCAGCTCCAAGGAAAATATTTTGGAAAGCTTTATCCCAAAACAATACTTTTTTCATGAGAAGAAATTATAATAAAAATATATTAACATTAATTACAGCTTTTGTGAAAGCTGTACCTGCTATTTACCTAGTGGTTTTTATTCAAGGGTCTCAAAGTGCTTTAGAATTTGTTAAATCCTGCAGTATCCCTGTGAGGGAGGGACGTATTTTATAATTACAACCATTTTACAGATGGGCAAACTGAAACACAGGGGTTAAGTGATGTCTTACCCACAGTTACACAGGAAATCAGTGGAAGAGGTTTTCATTTGGAAGTATGTGTGGCGATTAGTTCATGTAGTATAAAACATTTTTAAACAGAATAAAAACAATAGAAGTAACTTTGTTTGAATATAATCAGTACTTACACAGTCCTAAAGTAACAATAACCTTATAACTAGTTTCAATCAATGAAGTATAATTTGACGTGTAAATGATGTCACTTTGAGTAACAGTTAATAAATGTGTGAAGAAAAAGCATTTATTGGTGGTCTGGTACTCTATAGCTTTGAGGTGCATTTTCCTTCATAAAATATCTCTGCAGATTCCTCTTGTAGGAATTTGTATGCTATGCCTCACAATCAATGGAATTATTTAAAGCAATAAATTATTAGGAGGTATGTGTATGGATCATGGGTCAAAGAATCTTTTTCCCCATTAATGGTCTTTGTCTACCTGCTAAGCAAAAGCAGTTACAAAATATTGCTTTTAATCTCTTGTTTTGATTGGTGCCTTTAATTTTTTTTAAAAAAGTATATAATGGCTATTAATAGTTTTGTAGTAATTTTCAGTGTTTTTAGTAGTTCATCTAAGGTTTCAATTCTATTCAAACTATCAAAATGGTGCATCTCAAAGTGTTTGGGCTTTAAAAAAAATGCTTTTTGCAATAGTAACAGGTTTCAGAGTAGCAGCCGTGTTAGTCTGTATTCGCAAAAAGAAAAGGACTGCTAGTGGCACCTTGGAGACTAACCAATTTATTTGAGCATAAGCTTTCTGAATGCATCCGATGAAGTGAGCTGTAGCTCACGAAAGCTTATGCTCAAATAAATTGGTTAGTCTCTAAGGTGCCACAAGTACTCCTGTTCTTTTTGCGAATAGTAACAGGATTATCCTCTGACTAGACATGTTAGATACCTGAGGTGAAGGCAATGATTTCAAGAGGGCTGGTCTTTTAATTTTTTACCAGTTTTCTATTACCAAACCGCTAACTGAAGATTTCAGTTGTTTGCTAAATTTACAGTGGAATCTGAAGTTAGTTTTATGAAGGAACAAAGGAGGCAAACTTAAAAGCGACTGGTATTCTCTGATTATTATTGCCTCTCCGATTCAAACTGTCCCTCCCTTCTCTTATTTGGAGAATGCATGTATTTTGCTGAGGTAGAGAGGAACTGAAGACAGGTAGTGGAAGGACAGGCTTTTCTTAACTGCAGTTTGAAGTGGTCAGACCAATGGTCAGTTTGTGCATGCCACCGACCTGTTCATGCCTTTAAACAGTTCCATGGCTCATCAATACGCGATATTCTACAGCAGTGGTTCCCAAACTTGTTCCGCCGCTTGTGCAGGGGAAGCCCCTGGCAGGCCGGGCCGGTTTGTTTACCTGCTGCGTCCGCAGGTTCGGCCGATCGTGGCTCCCAGTGGCCGCGGTTCACTGCTCGAGGCCAATGGGAGCCACTGGAAGGTGCACGGGCCGAGTGACTTACTGGCTGCCACTTCCAGCAGCTCCCATTGGCCTGGAGCAGCGAACCATGGCCACTGGGAGCCACAATCGGCCGAACCTGTGGACGCGGCAGGTAAACAAACCGGTTCGGCCCGCCAGGGGCTTTCCCTGCATAAGCGGCGGAACAAGTTTGGGAACCACTGGTCTACAGTATGGGTCTGCAGAAGCAATATAAAACCTTCCTCGTAGCTGGCTCAAAGTGGTTACAGTTTGAGGTGGATGAGACCAAGAATGCCAGGTCAGGTCATTGACAACAAGGAGAGATTAGGAAAAGGAAAGAAGGATTATTGGGGGAGGGGAGACTATTTGGAAGGAGAAGAGGAGTGATAGGTCCTCAGGGAATGGGAAACTGTTCTAGGGGGCAGCTTGATAGAAGGCATAAAGTAGAGAGTGTAAACAATAAGGAGTGTCAGGAGCAGAAGATGGCTTTAGCAGTGTGATTGTGAATAGACTGGAGAAGGGAGAGATGTAAAAGAGCAGGTCAGGAAGAATGCTATATTGGCAAGGTGAGAGTACACCAAGTTGTGGGCGAAGGTTTTAGCAGTGGGAACAGTGAAGAGGAAGGGTGGACTTGGTACACTTAAGTAAAAAGACTTAGCAGAAGAATGGACAAAGGGAGAAATCAAAGGCTATTACATATGGGTTCCAAGCATGAGAGGCAGGAGGGATAGCAAAGCTGTCTAGAGTGGTGGTGAAGGGAGGTAGAAAAGAGTGATAAGGAGAAACGGTATGTTCAGTTTCAGGGAGAGTGAATTTGATGTAGTACTGGGATACATCTGCAGTGATATCTCTCTTAAGCAACTACTTGGCCTGACAAAAATTGGTGACTTGCTGGGAATGGACATCAAATAGAGATGAAGCAGAACTGTGCTTCAGTGTCCCCAACAGTACTGAATAGTCTATTAAAACAGGAGGTTGCCTAATATATTCCCATTGATTCAGATACCAACCACAGTGAATCCTGTGCATGAGCTGATCAAGAGTGAGTGTAGAGGGAACAAAGGCAATGTGCTCCATTGGATAATTCTGCCATATCTATTTAAATATTACATTTAGAGACTGTTTCTTTATATGTTTGTATAGTGCCAACCACGATGTGGCCTTGATTTCAGTTGGGGTCACTAGGCATGACCATAATATTAACAGTAATAGCAATGTCCAAAAAGACAGAAACAGAAAAGGAAGAGAATGAGGATTGAATAAAGAAGTAGTCAGCAAGGTGAGAGGCCACAAAAGTTCAGTGTCTTCCTGACTAGTGCTCAGTGCTTTTTCTGTGCCATCAAGATCTCTTGCAGGCTGATGAGAGGGAGGGAATTCACCCTTCTGATGGAAACAGCCTGCCTTCCCCAACCTCCCTTTGGGGATCAAGTCAGTGGAGGACTGCGTCTTATTATCTACAAAATGCAGTACTTAAACTTAAGATTTAAAATTTACAGAAACAATATAAATCATGTCTTTCATCATGTTTGCTTAATTGTGCAAGACAGAGAAAGGGTTAGGACATAATTGCATGACCTGGAGTGTAGAGTTAATTGCAGCTACAAAACACATTAGAACAGTAGGTCACTGGAAAGGTCATTTAGTCTTTGTCCATGTAAACCCACAGAGTGGCAAATGATATTTACAATCTGTCAGTTTCTAGTTATTTTGCAGTTACATCATTAAAACTACCATAAATATAATGTGTTAGAAGTTTATTGAGGTTTACTTTCCTTTGAACAGAGTACATTTAAATCAGGAGGTAATTAAAGAAAGATAAACCTCTTCAATAAAATGAAACAGTAATGTTTTTGTTTGGGATGCCTTTATTTATTCTACTTAATTTTAAGTGTTTGCTCTATTTATAACTGACATAATTTCTACAGAAAACATCTTGTAAGATTTTTCAGAAGATTAAAAGTGCAATCGAGTGTGTTAGCTGTAACCTCTAAAACAACTGAAATGATTCTATGCATATGTTTTCTCTGCATGTTAACCATGAAGTAAAAAATTGCAGGGTTAGTTAACCTGTGATAGTCTAATTTATGAGTATGTGACCACAT